ACGCCATACCCATCCTGTGGGCGGTAGTCAGAAGATTACAGAGGTACATAATGGGTCCAGGGACTGAACCCCAAAGTTATGATAGCTGAACAAGTTACAAAGGTAATGAACTCCAGGTAGATAAGTAAGTAAGTAAGTAAGTTTATTTCAGGTATACACAATACAGTTACATAGAATTATCATACATAGCAGCATATGTGTAGAGAACCTAGGATAACCCAAAAAAGTCAGAGTGACTTATTTCCATTGGGGTCCTTTGATCTGGTCACAATCATGACCAAGTTACTTATGTAATGAATTATCTACACGTCTATATATGGTTACAGTCACGAGCAAATTATAAAGTAATGAGCCATTCTCTATGTGGTTTGACATAAGCTTCTAGAGAAGTTGAATGTCAGAGCTATGTGATATTGAATTGTCACATTGACGGTGCACTTTGACTTCGTGAGTCACCCAACGCTAACACTAAAAATATATACAATAATAAAAATAAGGATAAAATCAACAAATAATAAACATCAATGAACAAAAACACTCAACACAAATACTATCATATTAAGTTAAAATAGCCAGCATTATTAATAGCAAAAGGCTTTCCTAAAAGTTCTCCGAGGTCTCTACATACACCTCGGTAATTATAAAAACCATGTTGAAGGCGGAAGAGCCTAAGCCATGGGCAAGTGTTGAAATATACTCCACAATAAACGGCGCTTCACAAGCTACACAGAGTTGCAGGAACACTTGTGAACAGCTACTGGCTCTGGGTGAGATGTGTGCCCGAGATTATTATTATTATTATTATAATCAAGGGGGAAGCGCTAAACCCGGAGGATTATACAGCGCCTGGGGGGGGATGTGGAAGGCATTCAGGCTTAATTCGGGGAACTGGAGCACAGATCCAATTCCATAAATCAAGAGCCCCTCACCAACATCAAGGAACCTTCCTTGAGGGGTGTGTGCCCGAGAGTAGTGCGAAACTCCCGTTGAGAAAAACACACCAGCGCTGAAAGTTTGAAGCCCACTAGAAGACACATTGTCCAGTTATCGCCCAGAATCCTACAATTCCAAGTTTAACTATATTACTAAAGTATCAAAATTGTACCTACACAGCCTAAACTCCCCCAAATCATCATCCTTGTACATATGATTCATCAATTGTTGAATGCTAAAGTCATTCAAACAGGCATACTCAGGCTGTCACAGAACAAAAAATACCATACCATTGTTAAAACTACATTTGAAAACTGACACACACTACATTAATATTTCCCCCCATAGTCTATGTAAGATACAACCCTTCTTAACAGCCTTAAACCATAGTCTGGAGGGAAATAAAATTGGCCAAAGGGTACTAGACCATGGCAGTAGTTGCATAAAAATTTTCTCCTGTTACAGTATACATGGACTGAAAATTTGAAGCCGATAGGATGAATCGTTTTCAAGTTATAAGCAAAATATTTGAAAGGACAAAAATTCCGACCACTTGCAGGTTCCCCCACCGAGAATAACTAATATTTATTTACTACAAGTACATGTTATACAGACCATAGCTGACATCAATGACATGCTACTATATAGAAAGCCGCTTGTTATGCTGAACATCTCGGACAAATTAGGTCAATGTCCCAGGATGCGATGCGACCCACACCAGTCTACTAACACCCAGGTACCCATTTTACTGATGGTGAACATAGACAACAGGTGTAAAGAAACACGCCCAATGTTTCTACTCTGGCTGGGAATCGAACCCGGACCTTCGCCGTGTGAAGCGAGAGCTTTAACCACCAGGCCACCAGAGGCCTTTTTTAAGTTATTTCTATAACAAATAAATTAGAGTTGTTCCTGAAAATATATCTGGGGAATTTTCTCTATGAAAGCAAAAATAATATCCACCAAGTGTAGAGGATCACAGGTGTAGAAGAAGAAAGAACAGAAGAAAGAGCAGAAAAAGATGGAGAAAAGGAAGAATAGATCAACTTAATACATGTACAATATGACAGCTGAACAACACAGTGCTATCCCAATGTGACTGATACCTGGAGTTTACCTGGAGAGAGTTCCGGGGGTCAACGCCCCCGCGGCCCGGTCTGTGACCAGGCCTCCTGGTGGATCAGAGCCTGTTCAACCAGGCTGTTGCTGCTGGCTGCACGCAAACCAACGTACGAGCCACAGCCCGGCTGGTCAGGAACCGACTTTAGGTGCTTGTCCAGTGCCAGCTTGAAGACTGCCAGGGGTCTGTTGGTAATCCCCCTTATGTATGCTGGGAGGCAGTTGAACAGTCTCGGGCCCCTGACACTTATTGTATGGTCTCTTAACGTGCTAGTGACACCCCTGCTTTTCATTGGGGGGATGTTGCATCGTCTGCCAAGTCTTTTGCTTTCGTAGTGAGTGATTTTCGTGTGCAAGTTCGGTACTAGTCCCTCTAGGATTTTCCAGGTGTATATAATCATGTATCTCTCCCTCCTGCGTTCCAGGGAATACAGGTTTAGGAACCTCAAGCGCTCCCAGTAATTGAGGTGTTTTATCTCCATTATGCGCGCCGTGAAGGTTCTCTGTACATTTTCTAGGTCAGCAATTTCACCTGCCTTGAAAGGTGCTGTTAGTGTGCAGCAATATTCCAGCCTAGATAGAACAAGTGACCTGAAGTGTGTCATCATGGGCTTGGCCTCCCTAGTTTTGAAGGTTCTCATTATCCATCCATCTGAAGGTGAGATCCTCCGACATGATCACTCCCAGGTCTTTGACGTTGGTGTTTCGCTCTATTTTGTGGCCAGAATTTGTTTTGTACTCTGATGAAGATTTAATTTCCTCGTGTTTATAATATCTGAGTAATTGAAATTTCTCATCGTTGAACTTCATATTGTTTTCTGCAGCCCACTGAAAGATTTGGTTGATGTCCGCCTGGAGCCTTGCAGTGTCTGCAATGGAAGACACTGTCATGCAGATTCGGGTATGAAAGCTATACTACACACACACGTATACTCAGATATATATTTTACATGAAGGCAAATTTCTGATAGGAAGCTTATATGGGAACCCATTTTAATACGATGCAGCGGTTAAAAAAAGGGAAGGTAATGCGGTGTGAGAATAACCTAAGTGTTTGGTAAAACGCGCAGACACCAGTCATGAGTGACCAACGTGATGCGGGCTTCTCTTACACAAGATCTGCGCTTGTATAGTCATGGTTACTCCACACGCAGAGGACACGCGCTCGTTATGTTATACGACTAATGAAACAATTGAGAACGCAGCGCGGTGTGGAGGCCAAGGGAGATCAGAAACAGCTCATCGCTGGAGGTTTGAGAGGTTCAGAACAATGGAGTTGTTGAAGGTTCGATCTATGCAGGGTGCAGGTCACAAGTCAGGTTAATGCAGTGTGGAGGAGGTCAGAGTTATACAATATGGAGGTCACAAGTCAGTGTAATACAGTATGGAGGCCACAGGTCATAGTAATACAGTAAGTTTATTCAGGTATACACAAATACAGTTACATAGATTGTTATACATAGCAGCATATGTGTAGAGAACCTGGGATAACCCAAAAAGTCAGTGACTTATTTCCATTGGGGTCCCTTTAATTCCTTATTATTATACAATGTAGGAGACATCGTATTATTATACTATAAAGGATGTGGAGGCCACAGGTCAGAGTAACACAATGTGGGGGTCACAGGTCATAGTAATACAGTGTGGAGGTCACAGGTTAGAATAATGTAGTAATGAAGGCCACTTGTCAGAGTAATACAGCGTGTAGGTCACAGATCAAAGTATAGCAGCGTGTAGGCCATAGGTCAGACAAAACTACGTGTAGGTCACTGATCAGAACAAGGCAGCCTCGGAGGGCTCGTACAGGACAAACAGATCACTGGGATAGCATATATGGAGAAATATTGAAGCACATGAAAGAACTACAGAAGCCAACACATCACACCACAACACAAACTCTGAGTACAAGTATATCACAATATATAAAAAACAAGGAATTTCGATCGAACATAATTTTGGTCTTGAATGAACATTGCCCAACCCACATTTAAACCTCTATCCACCGCATCCCATCCTCCAAAAACAACAGTCTGTTTCTCACAAACAGTTTTAAGCAAATTTCTCGAAAACGTTAAGATTAGGTTATGTCTGATTAGGTTAGACTATTATCTTTAAGCAAAATTTAAGGAATTATGACAAAATATAAGGTCAATAAATGCAGTGATAAAAAAGGCTATCGAAACTTTTCGAGCGAAAAGAGAATTATTATTATTATAATCAAAAAGAAGCGCTAAACGACAAGGGCTGTACAGCAGGGAGATGAGAAACAACGAGGACTTACCAAATTCACTTTAAAACAGTTACATAATTAATTTTATGATTATGAGGATGGGCTGGATAGTGCAATCCATACTTATGATTAATGTCAGTGTCGGATGTATGACTAACACTGGAATGAAAAAAAAAATGAAAATGTGAGTCTTATTTTAACAGGCGCCAGATGAGTCTCCGTTTTCTGGACTATCACAAACATGAACTCTCTATCAAGCATCCCTGCAGGAAAAAAGTCTCAGTGAATTTGCTGGGTTATCCTCGGTCATATCTAAATAATTTATCAACAGATTATGCCTATAACTTTTGCATCCCTTTGGAGCCTTTGTGCACATTCACTGGTGTCTGAAACACCATTTGTTGATCTGCATGAAGCTTATCTTATCTATTTACATCCATTACTTTCCAACTTCTAGCCCACAACCTCACAGAACTGACATATAACATACCTGCTGCTGCCCAGCCACAACCCTAACTTCCACTCCAATACCGTAGGTACATATGTTAAGTTTACCTCCAAACAGGTGTAATGCAGCAATTTTTATTGATAATTATGATATCAATTACATCACATTACACTCAGGAGGAACATGACTGGTGACGGTCGACCTTGATTGACTGGGAAATGTGAGGCTGGTGACTGTGGGTGTGGCTGGAAGTATAAAGGCAGGCTGGAGGCCAGGGAGGAGACAGTGTCTGCTAACCATCACAACAAGCTAACATGTTCACTTCTGTGAGTACTACTCAGCTTGACTCACATCAGAACAGTTTCCGACTTGAGTAAACAACGTGCATGTTGCAGAGTTGCATAGCAAAGAGGATTTTCATATTTATGTTATTTATAAAATATTAGGAACATCCTGTTTTAGTGGATTTGGCATAGAAAGGCTTATTCATTATCATCTGGGAAAACTTTTACTCTTAATCAATATTTGAATATTTAACTTATTCGTTAATATATATGTCATGTAAATCTTCATTATTTCCTTCTTAATCCATGGTTTGCTTAATATGAAAATATGACAGCATTATCATACAAATAGACAGCATATACGAGACTGAAACTTATTTAGACGTTTCGGTCCGACTTGGACCATTAGCTAGTAATTAGTTATCGACAATATCTTTCAGACGGACATGAGAAACAAGGAAAGCTCTGAAATAAGTGAAACTTAAGACACTGTCTTTTGCATAACTTACACAGTCTTAAAACTCTTAAATCTCTATCTGTGCAGGTGTTGCTGATGTACATGCTGGTGGCTGCTGGTGTGGCTCTTCCAGTGGGATATGATGTAGGTATTTAGTTACTGTGTTGTATTAAGTGAACTAACATGAGCAATGTTTGTGTTAATTACGAGTGGCACTAACCTTGTATATTCTGTTCCAGGTACCCATCCCTTACAACTTTAATTATGGGGTGAGCGCCGGAAACACCATCTTTGGCCAACAGGAGAGTGGTGATGGTTCTAACGTCAAGGGTACATACTATGTGAACCTTCCTGACGGTCGTGTGCAAACTGTGGGTTACTGGGCCGATGGTAGTGGTTACCACCCAACAGTGACCTACCAGGGCACTGCTAGTTACCCCAGCTATGCTCCTTCTTACGGCTACCACTAGTATTCATATCAAATATACATGTATATATACATATATTACTGTTCTTTAAACATTATTAAGTAAGGTTTTCTAGCGAGATATGAAAAATTGTTGAAATATACTTTAAAAACAGTTTTTTTCTGGTTAGAAGTGAATTATTTTATACTTAACTAATTCTTGTAGACTAAGTATATTATCAAGAGCGACTAAGCCACAAAATCCTGTGAACTCATCCTGTCTCGTAAGGCTTGACTATTGATCTCGTGTACATTTTCATGGTTCTGTAAATTATATTAACGCTATTAATAAAAATGGAAACATAAGGTAGTAAGGTTTTCTTGCTCTAACTTATTTTAGTCATATATTGTATATCGATTTAATAATTTTTCACAACTGCCAGGAAATTTATTGACTTGCTCAGCAGCGGAAGTGTTTGATAAACACTAAAACCTCTATTTCTTTGATCACTCTTCCATAGTCTGTAGTCCATTCTCTCCTGTTTTCATTTTTTGAGTCTATTATTCTGCCACATTCATTCATCTCATTGTTCATTATTTTGTTCTTGCAGCCTTCAGGTTGCACATTCTTCAGACACTCAAATTGTTGTCTCCTGTCCACATCCTCTCTCTATTTCCATTCCTTATGTTTATTTGTGACTCCTAAGCGGCACATTTATTGTGAAGCCGCAGGTCGCCTTGAACCTATAGTGTATACAATGGAAGGATTACAAAGGTAACACTGTCTGTATCAAACCTCATTTGACACAGGTATATATACTGGACAGCGAAGAGTCATTTCATATATTAAAGTCTCATTATATGGTTAATTAGATGTGTTTCGATAGCTACATGATCCAGACAATTGTCCCATTATGCAAGTAATAGTTGTTATACCTCAAAACTCTCATGAGACCCAGGAGCTGTAGCTGAGCACTCTTATGAGGCCCAGGAGCTGAAACTCAATCCAGTCAATACCGATTAAATTTATGACTAATCAACGTATATCGCTCTTTGATACTACACTAATTTCTTTCTCATAATCTTGTATACATAATTTTCATCTCTTACGTTGGAAGATGTGGAGACAGGAAGATAATAACTGTTCTTAGGAAATTAAGTTTGACTGTTATTTCATGGACACTATTGTTGATTTTCTAGGCTAGAGGAGGTGCTAGAAAATAATAGTTAAATAATTTATAGAGAGCAGCTTGAATTAATCTTAATTTTCTGACTTGTGGGATATATAATAAAAATTATTGTCTCCTACATGGCGAGAAAGATTTACATACAAAATAATATTGTGTGGACTCGAAGCTGTATGACTTTCCAAGTAACTTTTTAACTGTCTTCGTATTTAAAAAAAATATTAAAAGACAAAACTTGTTTGAAAACATAAAACTACAGTTATTGATTATAATATTTTATGTAGGCTTTAATAAAAGAAGGAAATTATTCCAGACGTACAGAGAAAAATGAAATTTTTATGGGCCAGACAATCTGTACACTGGAGGTGGGAAAGAGAAGGGGAAGAGGACTCTGGGTGCCATAATCTAGCTAACTGTAGTTAGAGGAAAGAAAGAAGAGAGATGGAAAGGAAATTTTCGTGACATATCTACCTACATATATTGTTTATACAGTAATAGATCTTGTCGAATAGTAATACTAGTCTAGATTTGTAAAATTCTGCGTGATAATTTACCCTAATTTCGGAAAGAGATAGAGATATTAGTAGCAAATTTACACGGTGTCCGAATTACAGCTCCTGGGCCTAATGAGGGTATTGATCTGCAAGCCTTGAACCTCTTAGAAACTCTTAAAGATATCTTCACAATAGTTCGTATGATATGTCTTAAATTTTTACATTTTTGACTGGATTTAGTTCCAACTTTAAAGTTGATCTACATACATAAATTCATACATAAATACGCATACATATTTTTGTATATTGTCAAGTTAGAACTTTATGACCACCTCGCACTATTCATTACGCCTACAATGATGTAGAATGGGCTGGGCTAATTGAATTCAGGGATATCTTCGTATCGTACAGCGATCGAAATACATGTAGTTTCCAACGGTGTCCTTTGATCCTTTTAACTACGGGATGCGACCCCCAGCAGTCAGCTTACACCCAGGTACCTACTTACTGCTAGGTGACTGGAGGCAACAGACGTGCCAGAGCTGGGATCAAACCCGGGTCATTTAGACGTGAGATGAAAATATTATCAATGCGACTTATTTCCCACAGGGTATTTATTATTTTCTAATAATTATATGTAACTATTAATGCCATCTGTTGTAAGGGTTTTGTAAAGACATTATTTCTTGGAGTTCAGTGAAGAAACTCCGTTAGTATTTAGCCCCTTAACGGGCAACAAGGTATTGGAACAATGTACTGGAACAAGGTACTGGATCAAGGTATTGGAACAAAGTACTGGATCAAGGTATTGGAACAATGTATTGGAACAAGGTATTGGAACAATGTATTGGAACAAGGTATTGGAACAATGTATTGGAACAAGGTATTGGAACAAGGTATTGGAACAAGGTATTGGAACAATGTATTGGAACAATGTATTGGAACAATGTATTGGAACAATGTATTGGAACAATGTATTGGGGGTCGTCCCACAGTTACTAAAAACAACAGACATAGCCCCACTCCACAAAGGGGCAGTAAAGCAACAGCAAAAAACTACAGACCGATAGCACTAACATCCCATATCATAAAAATCTTTGAAAGGGTCCTAAGAAGCAAGATCACCACCCATCTAGAAACCCATCAGTTACACAACCCAGGGCAACATGGGTTTAGAACAGGTCGCTCCTGTCTCAACTATTGGATCACTACGACAAGGTCCTAAATGCACTAGAAGATAAAAAGAATTCAGATGTAATATATACAGACTTTGCAAAAGCCTTCGACAAGTGTGACCATGTCGTAATAGCGCACAAAATGCGTGCTAAAGGAATAACAGGAAAAGTCGGTCGATGGATCTATAATTTCCTCACTAACAGAACACAGAGAGTAGTCGTCAACAGAGTAAAGTCCGAGGCAGCTACGGTGAAAAGCTCTGTTCCACAAGGCACAGTACTCGCTCCCATCTTGTTCCTCATCCTCATATCCGACATAGACAAGGATGTCAGCCACAGCACCGTGTCTTCCTTTGCAGATGACACCCGAATCTGCATGACAGTGTCTTCCATTGCAGACACTGCAAGGCTCTAGGCGGACATCAACCGAATCTTTCAGTGGGCTGCAGAAAACAATATGAAGTTCAACGATGAGAAATTTCAATTACTCAGATATGGTAAACACGAGGAAATTAAATCTTCATCAGAGTACAAAACAAATTCTGGCCACAAAATAGAGCGAAACACCAACGTCAAAGACCTGGGAGTGATCATGTCGGAGGATCTCACCTTCAAGGACCATAACATTGTATCAATCGCATCTGCTAGAAAAATGACAGGATGGATAATGAGAACCTTCAAAACTAGGGAGGCCAAGCCTATGATGACACTCTTCAGGTCACTTGTTCTATCTAGGCTGGAATATTGCTGCACACTAACAGCACCTTTCAAGGCAGGTGAAATTGCTGACCTAGAAAATGTACAGAGAACCTTCACGGCGCGCATAACGGAGATAAAACACACCTCAATTACTGGGAGCGCTTGAGGTTCCTGAACCTGTATTCCCTGGAACGCAGGCGGGAGAGATACATGATTATATACACCTAGAAAATCCTAGAGGGACTAGTACCGAACTTGCACACGAAAATCACTCACTACGAAAGCAAAAGACTTGGCAGACGATGCAACATTCCCCCCAATGAAAAGCAGGGGTGTCACTAGCACGTTAAGAGACCATACAATAAGTGTCAGTGGCCCGAGACTGTTGAACTGCCTCCCAGCATACATAAGGGGGATTACCAACAGACCCCTGGCAGTCTTCAAGCTGGCACTGGACAAGCACCTAAAGTCGGTTCCTGACCAGCCGGGCTGTGGCTCGTACGTTGGTTTGCGTGCAACCAGCAGCAACAGCCTGGTTGATCAGGCTCTGATCCACCAGGAGCCCTGGTCACAGACTGGGCCGCGGGGGCGTTGACCCCCGGAACTCTCTCCAGGTAATGATTATATACATGACTGGAACAAGGTACTGGATCAAGGTAATGGAACAAGGTACTGGATCAAGGTATTGGAACAAGGTACTGGAACAAGGTATTGGGACAAGGTACTGGATCAAGGTATTGGAACAAGGTACTGGATCAAGGTATTGGAACAAGGTATTGGAACAAGGTACTGGATCAAGGTACTGGAACAAGGTATTGGAACAAGGTATTGGAACAATGTTTACCCTTGTTATCCTTGTAGAATATAGCGGTATAATGATTTAATTTTCACTAGGAAGCAAAATCCAACAAATATAAAATTCCGATATTTTATGATACAGTGTTATATGACAACACTCTGTTCTTCTCTTAGTAAATTATATACAAAAGTAGTCCAAGAACCTTAACATTTTAGTTACAATTGTTTTATTTTATCGTATTATTATTATTATAATCAAAAAGAAGCGCTAAGCCACAAGGACTATACAGCTATTTTATCGTAACTAAGTCACAGAAATAAATTTACATAGAAGTTATAAACACTTAATTTCAATGGGAATATCACATTATAATGATGGATCATATGACTTTTTCAAATAATAATTTAATTCTCAAACTCAGTTCAAGAGGAGACATACGAATATCTCTTCTCAGACAGAAACAAGGAATGATAAACATCGCTAAAATTTTTCCTTAGTAAGCCAAATATTAACTATATACTAATAATTCAAGCTATGTCTAAACGTGGGTATGTTCAATGACAAAATCTATCTCCTATAATAAAGAAAATAGACACACAACACATGCATGAAACACATATACCTCCAAAGACAGCACAAATGATCGTGATTATGAATAACTCATTTTTTCCAAAAATTTGCTGAGTAAACTAAGAGTCACCTCAAACTGATTCTCAAAGAAATTGGAAACTTTACCAAGCAATGGGAGGACAGATATAAGTTATGTACTCAAGGCTGGACCAGGGAGCAGACTGCTTGACTCTGAGTCAGTTAACCTGACATGAGGTTGGATCACGTGACCCCCGTCTGCTGTAAGCTAGACCTTAAACTAGTTGACAGTAATTGACCTGATGGTTTCCTGCCATTAGGTGTTTGTTCTCTTCACATTATAAAAGAAACAGATC